GTCTTCTTGAGTTACTCCAAGTGAATGATGGGATTTGATCGACACTCCCAACCGTCTTCTTGAGTTACTCCAAGTAAATAATGGGATTTTATCGACACTCCCAACTGTCTTCTTGAGTTACTCTAAGTGAATAATGGGATTTGATCGACACTCCCAACCGTCTTCTTGAGTTACTTTAAGTGAATAATGGATTTGATCGACACTCCCACAGTTACAAAGTGCAATGCGCTATTTTGTTCGACAACGGGGTGTGAACCATGGACCCTCGGTCTATAATTTGACACGTTAACTACGAAGCCCGGGCGAACTAGAGAAAAAAGTGGTATTTTGGGATTTGTCGTTCACATTTGATAACCTGATTTGTTGAACACCACTTGCATAGACGTAGGTTCGGTTCTCGTTCTCTTAGTTTATTGATTCAAGAAAATAAGTTACAACCTCATAAATTGGGCCAGAATGTAGCAAAACATAGTAATCTCATCATAAGAAACTTCAAATTCAGAAAAGTTAAAGCCGTACGGTGATGCATTAAATACATACGTACGCGAGCGCGTGTGTGTATATATATATTGACTTTATCTCGCTCAATATTTAAATAATTAAAAGATGCTTGTGTTTGATACATTTTCAAAAATACAACAAAGGTTTACATTCGGTCAGATATTAAATATCAACTATCATGATTTCTCTTCAATGGATTCTATAGGCATGAAGTTAACTGTAAGTGTGTGTGTTTTGTTATAGCAAAGCCAAATCGAGGGGAATCGAACCCCTAGTTTTAACGTTATAATGCCGAAGACTTAACGTTGCTCCACCGGGGGACTGTCAGCCGCATGAGGGTCGAAACGTAGTCCCTCAGGACCGTTTTCTTATCTTATTCGTTCGGAAAAGAAACTCAGTATCATAAAATATTTACAATTGCTTTTAAAACTGATTATACTTTGGATCTTAACAGTCTCCTGGAACTTGTGGCTGGCTATTATTTATGATATTTTCGTGTACGAGACTATTTTATTGTTGGTTCTTCGGCATAAGTTATTTAATTGATTGTTGTTTTAAGTTTGTTTAAAAAACAACAACAACAGAGCATCTTCTTCCTTCATAGGGCCCGGCATGGCCAGGTGGTTAGAGCGCTTGACTCGCAATTTGAGGGTCGCGGGTTCGAATCCCCGTCACACCAAACATGCTCGCTCTTTCAGCCGTGGAGGCATTATTATGTGCGGTCAATCCAAC